AAAAAAAAAAAAAAAGTCATGGGGATGTAAAGTAAAGCATAGGGAATATAGTCAATAATGTGTTATATACATAGTCAATAACTATGTATAGTGCCAGGTGAATACAGTTGAGTAACTATGATGTACACCTGAAACTGATATTCTATTGTATGTTAGCTATATTTTAATAAAAATCTTTTAAAAAATTAAATTAAAAGGTTATAGGAGTCTTTTAACTTTGACCACTGGTCATGGTATCACCAGGAGGTGCCCCAAGTAACCCTAGAATTACCCCACTATGCACAGCTTCTTTCACCACTTACCCTTCCCCTGCCTCTCCCACACCGGGATTAATCACAATCCCATCCCTCCTCTGAGCCTTTGATTGCTGTTCAATCTACCTGGGATGTCCTCCCTCCTGCCTCACCTATCTTCAAGGCTCTGCAAAGATCCCTCCTCCATGCAGCCTCCCTTGCTTTCCCTCTGAGCCCCCAAGGCTCCTCATCTCCAGCCACATACGTCACCTTCTCTTTGGGGTTCAGAGTCTTTATCTCCTGCATTTCTTCCAAGTAAACTCGGCCCAGGACCAGGAACCCCGGGGCCCGGAGTGACCAAATTGCAGGAAGTGAAGGAGGGGTGTATGTTCAGGAAACCCTAGCAGGGGTTAACTTCAAGATGCAGGGGGCAGGGAAGGGGGGTGTACTATTGCTCAAGACTTCCCCCAACTCTGTTCTATTATATCACCTCCTGAAGTCTTGTGCAATGTTCTACCCACACTGTGGGAGTGAAAGGCCAAGCTCTGCCTGCCCCTCTGGTTGAGCCAGGACCCTCTGGCTGAGCCAGGACCCCCTGGGTATGCACCAAGGGTTCGGAGAAGGATGGGGTATGAAGCAGACCCCTTCCCAGGATCAGGGACTTTCAGGAGCTGAGTCATGATCTAGTTTCTTGCTCATTTCCAGCTCCTTTCTGGAACAAGACAGCCCAGCCTTCTCAAGCCAGAGCCCCCCTTCCACAGGCCAGGAGCCAGGAGTTACACATCTTGTTTTCTCTATACACTAGACGCCCTCTGCAGGTCTCATGAGGTTGAGAGCCCAGGCACGGAGCCCCATATCCTCTTTTCCCTATGCACTGGCCTCCCCCTGCAGGCCCTGTGAGGTTGAGCGCCACAAAGGGACGAATTGAACAAGCAGCTAAAACACACCCACACAAAAACACACAAGCTCCTAACACCCTCACCCACCTACATATATCCATACCCACATACACATACACAGTCATATAATCAATTACACAATCAATAGCTTACATACATTAAGGACACAGCACAGACATTTAAGCATATAATCACAATATGGATACAAGAACACACAAATACATAATTACATACACACAGACATGGGCACACAGACACACACTCACACAGACACAATCTTTTCTCCTAGAGAGGAGTATTTGTTTAGAAGAAATACGTTGAAAAGCTGTTAAACAGAACAAGGGTCTCAAGGTCTGGGCGGTTCTTACTAAATGCTAATCTTGCTAAACATTACAATGTAGCACAGTATTTTGCAGATGTAGAACTCAACCGGATAAGTGTAGCCAACTACCAAGAAGAAATCAATGTGTAATTAACCAAAGAGTGTATACAAGCCTATAAGAAAGGGATGATTCATGTCCCAAGTGAGGCTGACCAGCCCCCTCCTCAGAAATCCCCTTAATTCCTAGCATAGGGAAAGCATGGTAGGTTCTCCTCAAGCTATTCCTCTGACTCAGCTTTGGGCATAGGAAAATTGGTCAACAGGGGAGAGGGACAGTGCTGGCTGGTCAAGAGGGTAAAGCCCTAAAGACCTGAGATGTGAGATAGGGGAGCTGGACCTGCTTCCAAAGAACTTTCCCTTTAGCCCTGCTAGTCTAAGGGAGGAGCAGACCTCAGATAATGGATGCATAGGCACTGGGATGGGCCTAGGGGAATCTACGGAACCTGAGAGGAGACCCTCTCGAGCCTTACCCTGCTACTTGTGATTGTCCTCAGGGAACCATCTTTCCTACTTCTCCTATCCCCAGGCATCTTAGGACCACAGAAAAGAGTTGGAAGTGAGGAGAAACCTGGGGAAAAGGGAGGCACTCCTTACTTTGACGTCTAATCCTGAACCAAACCCTGACCCCTAGCCTTGATACTGATGGTTCAAATGCCTCTAAGGAGACAACACTGTAAACCTTCCCCTAAGTATGACAGTGCAACCCCCTGCCACACTTCCCTTGTCCAAACTAATTGCTAAGAGCTAAAGACAAAGAATGGAAAACAGGGGTGGAGGGGCTACTAAAGGAGAGTTATAAAAGGGAAAATAGTTCTTCCAAATAGAGATATACAGTAGGGAAAATATCTAGCAGATTCTGCTACCGTCTCATGTACTGAAATTCAATTCAGACACTAACCACCCAGTTAGTTTCAGACTCCACGGGTTTAATAGCACAGTCCGCAAGATGCCTGCCCCCATTTGAAATGCCAGCCACAAGTGGGGTCCCCAGGCCACCTGCATTTCTAACCAACTGGCTACAAGTGCTGGGGGTTCCCCCTCAGATTCAATTCACTAGGATGACTCACAAGGCTCAGGAGTGCTATACTTACAATTCGTTTTTTAAAAAGGAAAAAATCAGAAACAGCCAAATGAAGAGACACACACAGGGCAAAATCTGGGAACGCAGAGCTACCACATTATCTCCCTAGAGACACACAGGGCACATCATCCTCCCGGCACATCGATGTGTTCACAAACCAGGAAATGTCATGACCTTTGGTGTCCAGGGCTTTTATTGAGATTTCATTATATAGGCATCATTGAATTGTTGGCCACATGACTGAACTCAGTCTCTACCCCCAACCCCTTCCGCGGAGGTTGGGCCAACTCTCCAATGGTGGGTCTTTCTGGTGACCATCCCCATCCTAAATCATCTCATCTCTTAGCATAAACTCAGGTATGATCCAGGAGGCTCAGAAGTAACAAAGACACTCCTATTACTTTGGACATTCCAAAGATTTAGAGTCTCCCTCTCCAAAACCAGGGACAAAGGCCAGTCAAATTCTTTATTACACAACAGAAAGGAAGAAATTTTTGTACATAAAAAATGAAAGCTTCAGGGGACCATAAACAGGAGATAGCTACAGACACACACACACACACACACACTCTCTCTCTCTCTCTCTCTCTCTCTCTCTCTCTCTCTCTCTCTCTCTCTCTCTCAGGACCACCCCAGACTCCCTCACCCGCACCATCACTCTTCTCATTCTCCCCTACCCAGCCTCACAGTCTCACAGTCTCCACACAAGCAGAAGGGCTCCTGCAACCCATACACTTGCTGCTTCCAAAGATTCTAACCATTTGTCCATCTCCATCTGTCCTCCATGGCCTCCTGAACAGCACCGCTCCTCTCTTCAGAATACTGATTTCTTGGTCTTCCCTGGAAAGGAGAGGGGGTAAAATGGTAAGGTGTGGGGAATAGCAGGGACCTGGGAGCCTGTGAAGAAAACTGTGAGATCAGATTAACACCCAGGTCTGAGTGTGTCTATGAACCTGAGAGTGCACATGTACCAGATGGGTGTACCCGTGTGATTGCATGTCCCTGTGTACTGTGGGTATACCTGTGCATTGTGTGTGTTCCTATTCAGTCTATACATGGGCTTATGTGGTGTAGGTGTGCCTGTGTCCTGTGTGTGTACCTGTGGGATATAGATATGCCTCTGCCCCAGGTGTTCCTATATGTGTCAGTGTTTCGATGGGTCCTGGGCCTCTGGCTGTCCTCTCCAGAGGGTCTGTCTCCTCTAGTCTGGGTTTCCAGAAGAAGAAGAGGACAGCACACATGGGTGGGGGAGACAGGAGCACTAAAGCTGTGGCACTGGATTCAGTCAGGGCTCTGGGCTTCCCACCTTACAGTCCCTCAAGTCCTAACACTAACACCTACCACCCCAGCTCTGAGAGATGCCAACAACTCTGAGGACTCTTGTCACTTGGTGAACCAACACCCAATTCCTGGGAACATCTTTGGTGCCTTTTTGTTCCTATCTCCTCCTCAAGGATGGCTGCAGGGTACTGTTGTCCTACGAGCGGGGGTTGGAGAGTAACTGATCTACTCTCCCAATCATCTCCCAGGTACCTATGCTCACCATCTTACTTCCCTTCTCTTTGCTGAGCCCCTTCCCACAAGTAAGCCCCTAAACCAGGTTCCCAGGTGTGGTCCTCAGTTTCTGCCCCACACACCAGGGCCTTACAGGAAGCTAAGGTCCAGGGCTGCTCTAGTCTCTCTGACCTCTGACTCCAGGCTCACCACGCTGAGGGTCACCAGCTCTGCACACCCGCAGGTCAGCCCTGGGTGGACCGTATAATCCAGAGACTGCAGAACTTTGCCAAGGCAAGCCCAGCCCTCCCCGGCCCTGCGTCCTCCCTCTGAGCCCCTGCCCAAGACCCCAGCCCATGACCTTGCTTCTCCTTCCTCCCCCAGAACAAGTGAGTTGAGTGAGTCTGGCGGGAACACAGCTTCTCCTCCACACCCAGGCTGCAATGCTTCCAATAAAGTCCAACTGGTATCCATGGCTCTGTCTGTCATCTGTCTATTTGCGGCCCAGGCAGGGAAAGACAGGTATGAGAGGGAGAATGAGGGTGGGATGGGGAGAGGGAGTAGGTGTATCCATTCTCCACACTTCAGCCCGAGGAAACTTTCACTTCACTCATTTGTGATCGCTCTCTCTCCTACAGTCCAGCCATAAGGCTCCCTTCTTCCCTCCAAAGACCAACAGGGGCAGCTATTTCCAGACTCCCACACTGGGCTAATTGTTCTTTCTGGGCTCTACCACAATACCCTCTACTGTCCCTAGCCAGATCTGCCAGGTTTATTGTAATGATCTGATTTTCTCTTTCAATCCCTGCATCTCCAACCCAAATAATAAGCCATCTGAAGGGAGAGACTATGCAACCTGTCTTCTTTATAGCTGTATCCCCATGCCCAGCACAATGCCTGCACATAGCAGACACTCAATAAATATCTGTTGAATGAAATGACTTCAGGAACAAAAATCACAGGAATGTAGGTCTCAGCTCAGAGAGAAAGGGCTATGACCCTTTGGCCATTAAGTGACCTGGCAAAGGCCACTCAGCCAACAAATATTTCCATAGCCTGGCCTGACTAGACTGGGCCCTCTCATGTGGCCTATTCTTCAGTCCAGGGTCATACAAGTGGAATGGGGCAGACAAGAAAGGCAATCATCAGGGCAGAAGCCAAAAAGATTCAGAGTAGGAGAGGGAATTGGAAAAACAGTACTGGACAACGTCCCAAAGATCTTTTCTTGATGCCTGTTACTGAGCTATCTACCTCCCAGGATGGAGCTCCAAAATCTGACTTCATACCTATAAAAGAGGGTCCAATTCCTCGTATCTTAGTAATAAACCCCAACTTTGTCCCTTTAGTGACAGGCCCTGGCTCCACCTCCTGGTAACATTCTTGACTCCGCCTCCTCTGAAGAAATGCTCTAACTCGGCCCCTTCCGGGTAATAGGCAAGCCCCACCCCTGGTGCGCGACGAGTCCCTGTGACGTAACGGTAACGGTCTGTTTCCGGGGTGGAGCCAGGGAGGGCGGGAGTTTAGGCTGCGCCGACCCCTCAGCCCCCCTCCAGGTGACCCCAGCCCCCGAAAACCCTCACCGGGGGCCCCAAATATCCCAGCCTCATGACCGCAGTGCCTTTTGCCTTGACCCCCTAAATGCCCCAGGCCTCCAAGGTGACCGACCTCTTAATTCCTTAACGTCTAGTGCCTCCCCAAATCTCTAATCCCACCCTGCCCCAATGTGGCAACTGAGGCTTCCCGGGGCACCTGCCTCATATTACCTGAAATATCAGACTGGTTCTGAGAATGAAAGAAAAAGGGACCAAGGTTGGGGTATCCTTGATCCAATCATGCCGCTCCCCAGGAGACGTTTGGAGCCCGGGACATGTCGGGATTGAGGAGATACGAGGTGGCGCTGGAGGCGGAGGAGGAGTGAGTGGAGGCGGGGTTCTGCGGAGGAGGAACCTGGCCGCTCGGGGGTTGGGGGAGGGCGTGAGTTCTCTGGGGGCGGGAGGAGCAGGAGGGGTGGGACCCCTAAGGGGGCGTGGGCTGTGATGGGATCCGCCTCTAAGGGGCGGGGTGGGGCCTTGAAAAGACGTCCGAGGAGTCTGTGGGGTCAGCCCCGCCCCGCCCGGCCCGGCTCCGCCTTCTCTCTGCAGGATCTACTGGGGCTGCTTCTACTTTTTCCCGTGGCTGCGCATGTGGCGGAGGGAGCGGAGGTGAGGGGGCCCTCCCCGGGCATGGACGAGGCTCAGTGTCGGAGGACGGATCGGGGGGAATCCGGGAGTCCCCGCCCCGTCTCATGCCACTGTCGGGTCGCCCCACAGCTCGGCGCACCCCCGGGAGCAGAAGCTGGAGCCTCTGCGGGGCCTGATGAGCTGTCTGTCAAGCGGCCTGGGCCCTGTTCCCCAGCGCTCGGGTCGCGGCCTCCCCCGCCGCACCCCCAACGCCACTGTCCAGCCAGCCGGTGCATTAAAGATTTAAACCGAAGCCATGGTGCTTCCCTCCTGACTCTGTCGCCGCTGCCGCCATTCGGGCTGGGAGCCCCCTTCCATGCTAGCTGTGTCCTTAACTGACAAGGCCTCCCTCCCAAATAGGGTGCCCTTCCATGTCCAGATCTCTTGTATTACTAAGGGCCCCTCATCAAGCCTCCCGTAACTATCAGTGATTGCCTTTCACCCCCCTGCTCCCCAGCCCCCCAACATACCGTGGGTAGCCCATACGGAGGGAACTAAATAGCCATGGCTTGGCCTACCTCCCAATCTTATTTCCACATTGATGTGTTCTCACCAGCTCTCTGCTACCACCTTCCTCCTAGCCACAACTTTGCCAGATATCCAAAGAATCTTCTTTTCCTGGAAGTGGATCTAAAATATTTTAAGCCCGGAGTTGTGGAAGTAAGCTGTGAGAGGAAGGGAAGATTGCTAGAAGCTGCCTCCCTCAGCCTGCCACAGGGGAGTAATTTGGGACCGTTGGAGATTTTTCCTATACTTAATAGCCCAACCTCCAGTTCCTCCAGTCTGATCCCAAGTTTAAAGATACTCGACATCAGCACACCTAGCAGTTCTTGCTCCCTCCCTAGGAGAACCCAAGGGCCACACTGTTCCCTGTTGCCCCTTTCTGTCTTGTCACCCAGTTAGCCTGAGACCCATTAACTCCTAACTTGCTGCGAGTCAGGAACTCTGGTGGGTCTACTTTCAGTTAGGGACTGGTTGCAGCACCAGAAAAGGCACAAGAGGATGCCTTTTACTTTAAAGAGAGAGACAGTTTGTGGGTAGAGGGCAAAGCTAACTTTCAGCTTGGGGTTGCCCCTGCCACAGCAAGTTGTGGCTAAAGAGAAGATTTGGCCCTATCTGTGGAGAAGCCAAAGGGGACAAATGGATGCATACACGGAAGAATTCATTTCTTGCCTTCTCAGGTCTCTAAACTGACTGGTCCATGAGAGACCATAAAGTATGTGGCAGACAGCCAGCTGATGAAGATCTGTGACAAGATGACGGCACCTCAATCGCTGCACCCAAGCTCTGGGTCATAAGTCCAGACTGGAGGGTGGGAGAGAGATCCTAAGACCTCTGGTACTAGAAGTTCAAGATGTCTCTGGGTTGTGACCACCTTTAAAAATGGACCCGGAATCTTGAGCCATTTAATCACAAATGTGTACATTAAGAATCCCTTCAAAAGTGGAGTACCCTGTGCAGCCTTGGACCTATATCTCACCAGAAATTATCAGAATTCCTGAGTACCTACGAGTCAAACTCCAGGGAAGGGCCTTCAAGCGTCACTCTGGACAGGAGGGAGAAGCTCCAGTTGTTCAGCCTAGGAAGGGGACTAGTCCCTATTCTTGGAGCCAATGGTCCCTCCTGGTTGCAGCAGCCCTGCAGCAGAATGAGATGCCCAGGGAAGGCGTGAGTCCCTATCCCAAAAGACCTGCCCCATAGACGGTAGCTGGCACAGAGCAAAAGGCTGCAGAAGGCACCCCTGCAACAACCAGATAAAGGCTGGATTATTGGGTTATAGCTCAGTTTATGTTTCAAATACAAGGCAAGACTTGAGGGCTGAAATCCCCAGACCAAGAGTGGGAAATCCTTTAAGGTGCCAGAGGCACCAAATTTAGCAGCTTGCCCCTGCCCTAGGCAGTTCCTAGCTTCCTGGAAAGGACAGGAGGAGGAGGAATTTTATGCTGGGTGTGTAAGGGGAAGAGGGGAGTGAGGGCTGAGTATGGGATTAGGAGAAAAGGGACAGTAAGGGGATGAGAGGTTGGTGCTTTAGCAAGAAGATGGGATGCAGGGGGTGAAGGGGTTGTTGACAGGGGTATTAGTGGACCTGGGTGGGGAAGGGGGATGTTCCTCCAGGCCCACAGTGGAGAGAGGCTGGAATTTGAATAGAACAAGAGAGGTAATTGATCTCTTGAGTCTGAAGTCTCAATAAGCCAGGGACTGAGTCTGGAAACCCCAGGCCCCCAGAGGTTGGCATTTCTGGGACAGGACTAGACAAAAACAGGAAGATTTCTTGGGTCTTGTACCTGTTCAATAGCAGCAACCTGGCACCAAAGACATTTTCTCTTCCCTCATCTGCCCTCCTTATGCACCGCACCCTTCCTCCCTGTCTTATCTTCAGGGAAAGCAGCACCCACCTCTGCATCCCCATGGCGCTCCCAATAACACCAAAAAGGGCCTTTCCCAGCTTCTCCAAATGTGACTGGTTCCAGCCAAGAAAACTCCTCAGCCAGAAGGGCCTGCTTTAACGACCCATTCCCATCAATTTCTCCTGATAAGACAAGCAGGCTTGGGCAGAAAACGGGGAGGAAAAAATGACGGCAAGTTGGTGCTGGCTTGCCCTCTGCTCCCATACCACCCACAACTCCATCAGAATTTTGTGTGCTAGTATGATTGTGTGGTTGGATGACTGTAAAAACACAACTGTGTGGGAGTGGGACTTTGAGTATAACTGGGGCTGTATGATTCTGTCTATGGTTGTCTGATCCTGTGAGGTTGATCGAGTGATTGAGGTGTAACTGTGAATGTGTAACTATGGGTATGGGAGTGTGAATGTCCATCACTGGAGGATCCTTGGCTTCCCTTGCTCAGTTACTGTACCATCAGTCCTCATATCATGCGCTACCCCTCTCCCCAGCTTCTCTGCTCAGGGCTTAGGACCCCATGGGAAATGGCAGTTCTAGAAAAGGAGGGGGTCTATGGCACAGGAGTCTGTGGCAACTAAGACAGGAGTGTCACAGGATGAGCAATACATCTTCACCTGCCTCTGACTCACCTGATGCCCCAGGTAAAAAGCACCCAAACAAAAAGTAGGGGAGACGGAGGAAAAAGAAGAACGTATCCAGGCTGAGCAGCATGAAGGGGCCCTCACCCACCATCAGCTTCCTGCTGTTACTGTTGCTTCTGAGCTCAGACCCTGGAGCAGGTGAGTACTTGGAGGTCTAGAAGGCTACGGATCTGGGAAGGGAAAAGGGGCCCAGGAAGTTCAACTTCCAGCTGTTCGATGGAGGGGTTTTGGGGTCAGGAGCCCTCTGAATACATGGCCGCACTGTCCCCTAGCAGTGATACTGCCACCCAGCACTACCTGCTGTACTCAGCTCTACCGACAGCCACTCTCAAACAAGCTACTGAGGAAGGTCATCCAGGTGGAACTGCAGGAGGCTGATGGGGACTGTCGCGTACAGGCTTTTGTGTGAGCTCTGACCCTATCCCTGACTCTGTCCTCAGTCATAACCCCTGATGCTGATCCCAGTCCCAGCCCCAATTGTTAATTCTGATGTCAACTCAAGTTGTCATCTGGCATTTGCCCTAACCCCTGGACCCTAACTAACCTCATCCCCAAACTATGACCATGGCTTTCGACCTTTCCTAGGCTTCACCTGTCTTGACACAGGGTCTGCATCCACCCCCCAGAACCACAGCGTGGCTCAGTGGTTTGAGCGCCAAGGGAGAAGGCTCCAGGGGACTTTGCCCAACCTGAATTCTAGGCTGATAGAGAAAGTAGGCCGGGGCCCCCAATAGCCAAAATAATAAAGCAGTATTGAACAAGTCTCTGATTGTGGTCTCCAAGTTCTATGCATTCTGCGAGCCCTGAATCTGAATCTGGAAGACATCAATAAACTGAAGAACCTCCTCATTCTCTTTATTTACACCTTCACAACCCCCGCCAGGGGCAAGACCAAAAGCCAGGGACCCACACACACTCCCCAGGCACCTACATATGTACATACAGAGAACAATGTTTCCCGCCTCACATACACATGGGCTCACATGGACACAGACATACATATTTACACACATTCTGCTGATGGACCTCCAGCTCTGGGATGAAATCAGAGGTCCAGGTACCTTTCATCTGGTAAGTTTGGAACAGAGTCTCATAGAAATGAACTCCAAACAGAACTTCCAGTTGAGACCCCATACACCCATGAGGATTCACTGTCCTGCCTGGGTTCTATCTGTCCATCCATTCACACCAGCAAGATAGAGTTATAGGTGGAATCAGCTGAAGCCTCCTGGGTCCTCTACAGGTTTGGGGCTCCTAGAAAAATCAGGAGACAGATCAAAGGGGATAGTAGGACTGGGTCTTGGCCCAGACACCCTGAGAATGAGGGAGGAGACCCAGTTCTGAGCTTAACACTCCGAGAATGAATAGGGGAGCCCAGCTCTGCGTGAGCCCCAACACCCTGAAGATGAGGGAGTGGACCTAGCTCTGGGCTCAGGCACATCAAGAATAAGGGAGGGGACCAAGCTCTGATCCAACACACCCCAAGAATAAGGATAGCTATCCAGCTCTGAGCCTAACACACTGAAAATGAGGAGGGAGTCCATCTAGGAGCCCCGATACCCTGCAAGAAAGGGAAGGGACCCAACTCTGAGCCCAGAGACTTAAGAATGATAGGCCCATTCCTGAGCCCAGACGTCATAAGAATGAGACCCAACACCCTTACGATGACTGGGGCATCTGACTCTTAATCCAGACACTCAAAATGAGGGCACACATCTCCGTGTCCAAACCTTCTGGAGTTCCTACTCACCTGGAAGCTTGTCAACTGGAATCATTGGGGCCAAGAATCCAGGCTTTTGGGGTCCATCCTTCCCATCCGGTTTCAGTCTGAGCCTGAAGCATAAAAAGGCAGATATCTCCCTGACAATGTAGGACATTTCAGTCTCCTCCAAAAGGGTTTATTAGTAAAGGGTCAGGAGAGGAGTCAGTAAGAATCATGAAGTTAGTGGACAGAAGGGAGAGTGGTTCCAAAATCAGACAGGTTCATTGGGAAGTCATGAGGGGTGGGAAAGGGTGTGGTTTATGGGTATCAGAGGGTCTGGATGGGATCAGAGGCTGAGGCACCAATGGCAGTCACTTACCAGAGCCCCAGTGCCAGGGCCCCAGCCACCAATCCCAGGAAAGAGAAGATTCCCAAAGATGCCAGAACAGCCATCTGTTCCAGGGGGTCCCTGTGGTCTAAGAGGGAGGGTCACATGCCACTGTGAGCGCGAGCCTGACCAAACTCAGTGCTTCCTTCTCTCTGGGGCTTTCCCATCTTCTAACAACTTTGCCCATCTACCCCAGCTTACCAAGTGGCCTCGGGTCTGGCAGGAGGGAGGGTCTTGGGGGAGCAGGGCTGTCTGCCTGAGGGTTCTCCTCTGGCTGTGTGTACGGCTTACCCCCAGCTGGTATCTCCTTTGGTAGGGGCCCTGAAGGGAGGCAAGATCTGAGGAGAATTGTCCATGTAGGGTGGGGGTAGAGGTCAGGGCCTGCGGACAAGCCAGGGCCTTGCTTGGACACAAGGACACTTAGGAGGCAGAGTCTAAAAGGGCAAGGCCAGCTTCTGGGGACGTAGCAGGGATGGAGGCTGAGGGGCAGGGCTTAAGTTAGAACAGGGATTAAGCTAGGGCAAGGCTGCAGGCAACCCCGGATGAAGCCTGCGACAGCAATTGCCAGGACTGCATGGACTGGGCATGTGCCAAGCAGCCTGGTTCTTGCCAACTGGTCCAACTGATAGATGCTGAGAGGCGGGGCCTCCGCTCTTTCCTTTGGCTCTGTCTCTTACCAGTGCTTGGAGTCCCCCAGGCCTCTGGGCTCCAGGCGCTCCAGGTGCCAGCGTCCAGAAAATCCCGGGCACTGACTCGCACAGCATGGGGCAACCCGGCCACAGCATCTGTGATCATCTCCTCTAAGCCAGCTGGCTCCACCTAGCAGTGAAGATGGTTCATCACCTCGTTATTCAAGCTGTAAGCGCTGAGCCTACATGTCCTCCAGCCCCAGCACCCCTTCCTCCCAGGTCTGTCCCTGTCATTCTGGTGGAGCCATCTGGGCCTCACATGGGGTGACTGGTAGTGTCAGGTTTACACCTAGTGTTTGGAAGACAAAAGTGCATAGTGGTTATATAGACAGGCTATGCCATCAGTCTGCCTGGGTTCAAATGCTACTGAGTGACCTTGGGCTTCTCTGTGCCTCAGTTTCTTCATTTGTAAAACAGACATGAATAAATCTAAACAAGATAATGCATGTACAATGCATGTACACAGCGCTCAATAAATATTGGTTATTATCTGAGGCAGCCAATCTTTGACATCTCCAGAGGTAGGAATTCACTACTATCCTTATCTGGGTATATGAGTGTTTGTACGAGGATGTACCACAGGGTGAAAAACACTTTTCCTAGAAAAGCTATTTTTAAAAAGTCACTGCTGTCTTCCCACAGATAGGCTTTCATCAGAGTTGCTGCCCTGAAGGGCAGAGGCTTGGTCTGTAAGTCCCTGCTGCAACCCAAGCAGCCCACACAAAGCCTGACCCATGGATGGCACTCTGTAGGGGGAGGCGACAGGGCTTCAGTGACCTGCCAGTGCTGGAAATCCATGCAGAACACCCAGAAACATGAAACCAGAGACAGGACCCACAGCCCCAAATTGGAACACACTCCAGGCCTTACCATGGACCAGGCAGGATGCTGCACTGGACGGTACTGCAGCCGGAACTTGAGCAGGAAGTGGGGCTGGCGGGGCCAGGAGGCAGGGTACATCCAGCTGGCACGCAGGCGGCGGGGGTAGCCAGGTACTGATTCTACCCGAAGTCCCTGGGGTGGGTCAGGACGCACTGAAGGTGGTGAAGACACAAAGTAAGGGCAAGTACAGGTACCCATCCCTGCCCCACCATCTCCCAAAGGAAGGCAGGTGTGTGCCTAAAGGTACCTGTGGGACGCACTTCCAAGGGGGGTGGGAAAATCTTAAGCTTGATCATCCATTAGGCTCAGGACCTGTCTGTCATCCCTATTATAACATGAGCTGGGATCTGGGGACAGGTTTTTGAAAGGTTTGTTGAATTCAAGAGTGATTCTGCTTTCATCCAAGGAAGAAGATGAGTTGGCCCTAATTCCAGCCAGAGATTTAGAGCCCCCCTCCCACGCACAGATCAGAAGGAAGGAGGGGCCAATAGGGCTTCTTGGAGAACAGGGAGGACTTGATATGGCTGCCTTCAGCACAGGGCCTAGAAGCAGAGAGGTAGCTCCAGGGCTAGGCAGCCAGGAAGAACTTCGAGGGGGGGGGGGGTCATGGCAGCCACCTCTAGAGGTGGAGATAACCCTGCCTCCTGGGCTCTGATCTCTTTGGCTTATTAGTCTCCAAGGGGGCCATCTATGCACTGAAACAGGATCTATATTGGGCAAGAACTGTTTGGGAGCTTTGGCGGGTCTGGGGGGGATATCTGTACACTGGAGTCTCTTTGGGGTCTCTATGGTGGGGATCTGGAACTCTGGGGGTGGGTACTCACAGATGCTCTGCAAGCTCACATCCAGCAGGCGTGTGCTGGCCCCCAGGGGGTTCACCTCAGTCACATTGATCCGGTACTGGCTCCAGAACTCTGCCCCGTGGACCACACAGCGGGTAGCCCCTGGGGGATCCTGTGGGCATGGCCAGGGCCCTGTGGATGGACTCACCCTAGGAAGGAAGATGTGGTCTTGGGCTTTGGAAATGCTCATTGTGGGATTCAGCTGGAGTCCCCTGCCTCTCCCTCATGTCCTACCTCTGGCCATCAGCTCCTGGCACTGTCTTCTTCCTGGCAGAGAGGGGGCCATCTGAGGTCAAGAAGGAAAAGAAGGTCCTCCCTCCCTCTAAGGCCTTCCTCAGGACCTTCCTCCCATACCCACATTGTGCCAGCACACCCAAATATACAGACATACACACGCAATCATGCACACACCTGTAGGAGGTGAGGTAGCGGGTGGGTAAACCGCTGACCTGGCTGGGACTCCATGTGCAGGAGAAGTTCTCATAGTCAGCTGCTCGGCAGGAGACAATAGGGCGGGCTGGGGGGTCTAGAGGCAGAGGATACAGCTGGAGACTGAGAAGTCCCCAGTCCTCCCATCCCAGAGGGCTTAATCAGGACCTTGAATCCCTCAGGAGCCCCATGTCTCATCACTGTTACCCAATACTCCCCAACTCACAGCCCAGCTGCAGGGTCACCATGCCCCCAAGTGCACCATCCAGGGTCCGGCAGATGTAGGTACCCTCGTCAGTGCTATCTGCCAGGGCTAGGACCAGTTCATGCCCTAGCCCAGAGTCGGGTCCCTGGAGCAGCCTTGTCTCCCCGTCCCGAAACCAGGACACTGGGGCCCTGGGGGTGAGATGAGGTGATGATAGAGGCAAGATTTAAAGTATAAGTCAGACTATGCCACAGCTCTCCATCGGCTTCTCACTGTGCTTGCAAATAAAACCCAAACTCCTTCTGTGGGCTCGCAAAGCCCCTGGTGATCTAGCCCTTGTCTTCCTTTCCTTCTTCAGCTCCTCTGTCTCTTCCCATCACCTGCTGCACTCTGGTCCTGTCTTGTCCCATTGGTCTTCTTTCTGTTCAAGCGTTTTGAGCTCATTCCCACCTCAGGGCATTTGCATTAGCTGTTCCCTGTCTACCCCAACCTGCCTGACTGCCTCCTTCCTGACCTTCACAAATCAGCTTCAATGTCACCTCCTCAGAGAGGCCTTCCCTGATTACCAATAAAAGGGAACCACTCAGTTATCCTCTTCCACATCACTCTCTTTTGATTTTCTGCCCTGCACGTATAGGTACCTGGGAGATTCTTATTTGCTTATTCTCTGTCTGCCCCATTAGGATGCAAGCTCTGTGAGAGCCGACATCTTGCCTGGCTTATACACTGCTGTAGCCCAGGGCCTATGGTTTGAAGGTTAGGACAGATAGAAAGGTGAGGATTACAGACACAGTGGGCAAAGAGGGCAGGGGCATGATGACTGAGCAGGGTCAAGAAAGGACCACGAGTGTCAGCCCAACAGGCAGGTGAGGCACTTACCCAGCAGTCACACCAGGGCAACACAGGGTCATGGACCTTCCAGGCTGCCCATACTGGACCCCTGCGGAGAGCAGTTCTAAGGAAAGTCTCTTTCTTTCCCTCTTCCCAACCACATACTTTGTGCAAGTGAGAGGGTAAGGGGCAGACTTTCAAGCCCTGGGTGGGGTCACTGGGTCAGAGTATCACGTTATAATCTAGAGACAGAACTCAGAGGACAGGGTAGAGAGGGGATGTTGCTGGGTTGGATGTCAGGGGCTGGAGCCGCAGGTTAGGCATGGGAAGGGGCCCCAGTGAGGGTGGCAAGTCACAAGTCAGAGTTGGGGTCATAGAATAGGGTTCTTCTCACCTGGGGGGCCCCAGGCCTGGGGGCAGGAGGAGGCAGACACCAGGGCTGTAGCCACGGCCACCAGGACCCTGCTCAGCCCTGAGCAGCTGCTGCTCATCTGTGAGGAGAAAGGCAGTGTCTGCGATCCCCCATCCCAGATAAAGCCTGCCTCCTCCTCCCCCAAACTGGGGCTTTCTAGGAGGAAAACTGAGGTACCGAGTGGGGTAAGAATATCAGAAATCACTGAGGGATCTGATCTAAGGTCCCCCTTTCCACTATACACACACTGTATGCTACACACACACACACACACACACACACACACACACACACACACACACCCTCTCCATCTCAGTCCTGGGCTTAGGGCCCAGAACAAAAGCCGGAGGCAACAGACTGTGCCAGCACCGCCCCACCCTCACCCTCCACACCACCCTTGGTGCCCACCCCTGGCACCAAGAGCTAGCTGGCACCAGCTCCGTCATTCCCATTAACTCCTCAATCCAGCTGTTGGGAATCCCGGTGTCTACCTGGCCCAGGGATAGTCCTTGCCTCTGACTGACCTGAGGCATCCCTCAACACCCAAGGGCTGTCATGGTGGGTCTGAGCCCATCCTGTACTCCTGCCATGGGACCTAGCCCTGCTCTGGCTGCCAAGCCTCTTCTCGCGTGGGCCTGGCTCCTTGCTCTGGCTCCTTGGGCCACTCATCCGGGCCTACTCTGGAGTCTTATGAGTCTCAAACCTATGAGTCTGGATGGGGCTAGGGTGCAGGCTGAGGCTGTAGAGTTAAGCAGATCCAGATGCCCTGGCTGCTGCCAGAGGCTGGGGGCGGGCGAGGAGCCAGCAGATGGAGACAGGGTGGCGGGGAAGGGAGAGGAGGCTGAAAGGAGCTGGGAGTATGCAGGGACAGGGGCCTGGAGTTGGAGCCACAAGACCAAGAGATGATCAGAGATCAGGACTGGTAGGTGGTGGGAGCTCAGTGAAGTGAGGTCTGGGCTAGGGCAGCAGGAACTCAGGAAGGCTGAGGAAGTGACCAACTATGTGTGTATGGGGGTTGGAGGGTGCTAGGAGAGAGGGATTCTGGATGGGGGAAAGCAAGAGGAAGGCAGTGGCAAACCGGCCATGTAGACAGCAGAAGGGCAGGTGGCGGGGAGGGCCCTGGGGGTGGGGGTGCTTCAGAAGAGGAGGACACACACCCCTCCCAAGTACAGCAGAGCAGAGGCCTCCACGTGTCTGTATGTCTGGGTGTCTAGTGGCTCACCCCTGGTCCCCCAGCCACATTTACCCTGCTCAGCCCCACCTACCTCGGTGATCCCAGGGGCTGAGTGTCCATGGCCTCCAAGACTTCCTCCCACCAGCTACAGCACCCGTCTCAGCGCCACTCAGTTCTGGGACCCCAGAATCATCCCCTCCTTCCCTCTCCCTGCCCCCGCCCCTCTGGGCCCCGGAGCTCAGCCGCCCCTGGCCAGGCCCCCTCCCCCCCCTTTCCTCCTCCCTTCCCACCCTCCTCCCACCGAGGCCCTGGGAAGGGAAGAGGCCTCCCCTCAGTCTGGAAAGGAAGCCACAGGCACAGCCAGCAAGAGGGAAAGGAGGGCTGCTTATGTCCCTATCAGGGAGAGATGCCCTGTGTTTTTACACAAACACAGTCACATTCACGTAGGGACTCGCTAGGTACACTCAACAGAAACACACTCCCCTTGAACAAACGTGGATACAATCAAATGAAAAATCAGACACATACTCTTGCTCCCACTCTTTTCACTCCCTAGCAAATATTTCCTTAGGGCACAGCTGGCTGTATTTTGATGGGAAGGGAGGCCCCAGGTGGGGGGATATAAAGAAAAGCTAGAGTCCAGTTTCTCCTCCCCTAGATGTTCCAGCCATTTCTCACCTCCCCCGCCACTCTCTGGGCCCCAGCACCAGGAAATGCCTTTGGTCCCCTGGTGCCAGATACACAAGACCCACACTTACTCTCAAACACACACTCTCAGATACAGCTACTCGCAGTCACACCGATAAACTCAGATATCCTCACTCAGACTCAGAGACTTACATTTACACCTACCCATACACTCACACATCTTATTATTCCTTTCACAGTCACATGCATACTTACCACTCTGCCCCTGGGATGAGGTCACAGCACTCCCTAAAAGCAACTCCTCATCATGGTTTAAGTCCCCTCTTCCAGGGACCCCTTAGCATGGCAGACATCCCACGTTCATCACTGTTACAGGCCCCCAGGTAGCCAAAGAGACAAAGGTGAACAGGACAGTCAGGCACAAGGGTAGAGAGAGACAGAGATGTAGAGAACCTGAGAGGCAGAACTGAACAGTAGACACACAGAGATGCCTAGGGAGACTAAACTGTGAAGACACACAGAGCCATAGCTCTAGGAAGAAAGGAGTAAGGAGAGAAGAAATATAAGGAAACTGAGTCAGACAGGGAAATAAAAAAATAGGGAGCAGTGGACCAGTGACAGGGATTCTCGAGTACAGAAAGGAGAAGCCAAGTGTGTTGGGGATGGGTCTGTCTATGCTGGACACTCAGTAGAAAGGTGAGTCCCATTGGCTGTTGAAGTGGGTCCCTCTTCACAGTGGGACTCAGTTCCACTTGCACACAGTCTAACAGTAAGGACACAGGACACACACATAGTACCAGTCTCACTCTTGCTCTACTACTCCTGAAGTCACACTGGTGCACACCAACCCAGCAACCCACTGGCAGAAACAGTCTGAAACTTTACCAAAACACATTCCTTTATGTGGTCACAGGCCCTCTCACACACAAACAACACGACCCAGTCTCTCACCAAAACTGCACATTGACAGATACACACTTAATCTCACACTTGCACAGCCACACGCAAACTGACACACGCAATCACATTAGCTGACAGTTGCACAAAGTGACAGTCGCAGAGCCTCGCACACTGGCATCGTCACACACAGCCTCACAGTCACACATACACTGACAGTCCGTCAGTCACCTTGGGCCCTTCAGAGCGCTCCCCACCCTGCCGCACCCTCTCCTGGCAAGGATTCCTCATGCATACCCACGGGCCCCACCAGGTCTCACCTTCCGCGGCCTCCGCCGCCAGCGCCCTCCGCCCTCGCCCTCTGCCCTGGCCTCGACTCCCTCCCGCCCTGGGGCTCCCGCAGTGGGGGCGGCTCCGCCCAGGCACCAATGGAAGGAGAGGGGTGAAATAGGGAGGGTCTCGGCCCATTGGAGCCTCCAACTGCCAATCACCTCCACCCCCACCTCTGCCGGACACTTCCTGTCCCGTCCCGGACTGAGGAGGCTGCAGGGGGAGGAGGGGGGGAGTCAGAGTCTGGGGCTGGATTCCTGAGTCCTTGCCTGAAGGCCTGTCCTCCTGAGACAGCAGGACTGGAATCTCTCAGGCCCACTCTCGGTCCCCTACCTTCTGTCCACAAACAGCCTCAAGTTCAGTGGCTCAGGAGCCACAGGGCAGGTGACTGGAGAAGCTGAAGGTGTCCCTGACTCCAGATTAAGGATTGGGATAAGGCAGTGGTTCTCAAACGTTGTTGGACATTGTGGTTTTAAAACTGCCATGCCACACTCCAAACCAATTAAATCAAAATCTCTGGAGGCTGGATCTAAGCATCAGTATTGTTTAAAACTCCCCAGATGATTAAAAAATGCAGCCCAATCAAAAGTATAGGGTCAGGTATGTAGGTAGGTAGGTAGGGGTGTGTGTGTGGGTGTGTGCTTGCGCGTGTGCTCCTTAAGAAACCAGCTACCTATCCAGTGTTCTCATCCATTCCCCAGTGACTGGGAGCTTAAGGGAGATGTGTACCATGTCTATCTGAGCTCCTTCCAGACCAGAGCAACACTCCAAGTCCCAGACTCTTCCCCTCCAGGGTCTCAAGGAAGAAAGAACCCTGGGCAAGAAGGAAGATAGCCAAGGTTCTCCTGGGCCAGGTCATCATTGTCCGCCCTTGGTGTGATTTTCCCTCCCAGTTCCCTTGAGAGAAGAATGGAGATGAAAAGCGTTCTGGCCATCCTTGCATTGTTCACAAGCCCTGTCTTCACTTAAAGCTTTGGACGGCATCACATCTCCTGGGTTGCATGGCCTGTTGTTCCCACACGGTTACACAGTGTTGCTGGTTACACAGTCTTGCTGGGGAAACAGGGCCAGAGAGGAGGGGACAGACCTAGGGTCGGTCACTCCAGAAAACATCTTGTCCTTCCAGACCCTGTGACTCCTAACTTTGACGGCCCCATCCCTGCCGGAGCTGTTTTTGGCCCCATGCAATGATTAGGGCACAGGAACAACAGAGGTGTACAGAGCCTGCACATACATGCTACATGTTGGGAGTCTGGAGAAGCCAAGAACACAAAGCCGTGTACACATTCTCTACCCACCCCTTCAGCCCCTGTGGGCTGGAGCAGAGCCAAGCTGCAGCCACTCACAAAGCCAGGGTTCTGGCCAGCAGCCCAGGATCTGGCCACTGACCACTGGGACCAGGATTCTGCTACCAGCTCCCCACCAAAACTTCAGGCCCAAACTTAGTGAGCGGACACCCTAGGGGCGGTGGCAAGGGGGGGCTCTTACTTTCCCAAAGCCTCAGCCACATACAAAAACACAAGATTTTTAATCAGTTTCTTAAACTGAGATGACTTTGTTACTCCAGAAGTAAGAGAATCTATAGGCCAGACATAATACTGAGTATTAATTTTGTTCAGAGATTTAGGGGAGAATTTTGGTATCCTTAAGTTTTTGCACATCCATAGGCAAAGAAAAGTTGTGGCTGGAGCTGTGCCTTCTGCCTTTAACCCCAGACCTCTGAGGGTTAGAGATCACATTGCTCTGGCGTTAGAATTTGTGATTAAAGTTTGAGAAGTACAGTTTTATTGACCCCCCACATCTGCCCAAACCCTAGGCCCTGGTACTCTCAGGCAAAAGGCCCTGGGGTCAGCGTGGTCAGGAGATGGCTGCTGTCTCCCTGTCCTTTGGCCCCAGGCTGTAATGAACCTCAGGAAGTGCTCTCAGTCTCTCCGCAGCCTGGAAGGGGAAGAGGGAGGGTAAGGGCAGCCCAGAGTGGTGGTATGGAGTTCTGAGTGAGGGCTGGTGGGACCAGGAGGCTGGTGATAAGGACTGCTAGACTAACCAGAGGATGAAGGAGTTGAGCAGCTCCTGAGTCCCTAGGAATGCCCAGGGTATAAGGGTTCTCAGGGTCATGATTGTTGGGATCCCTTGAAGAAATGGGAGAGAAAAGGGGACCCAGGGTGCTCCGAGTCCTGACCTGCTCAGGGGTGAGGTCCCTCTGAGCCTGGGCAAGCATTTCGTAGCCAACCATAAATTTCCGGACAGTGGCAGAGCGCAGGAGCGGAGGGTAGTAATGAGCATGCAGCTGCCAGTGGTCCCAGCTGGCTTCGGCCTCTGATCCCGTGGGAGCCCCTGACAGGAAGAAGGCAGATATAGCTGGCAATGGCCCTTTCTTAGTTCTGCAGCCTAGCCACTACCCCCAAACCAGGCTAGGTACCTGAAAACTACATCTCCCAGCATTCTGTGCCAGAGAGGAGACCAAGCATCGTAAAGTACACTGGGAGACATATTTTCACCAAGTTAGCTGCTCCACCCTCATTCCCAGCAGCCCTGCTCTGGACATTTCCCCCAGCAAGAGTTTCAAGGCCTGCTGGGGGTTGCAGTCCACTGGGCTGAGCCACAGGAGCCCAGAAATGAAGTTGGAGTTATATATAGGTGCTCAAAAAGCCTCACCGTGCCAGCCCATGGTGTAGGGAAAGGAGGTCTCAAACAGGTTGTCGTATTTCGTCAAGAGCTTCTTCATGATGAAGGCTAGATCTGGAATCAGAGCCTGACTCTCAGCCAGGGGCTTAGATGCTGGCCCTACCAGAGCCACCCTCATAAAGAGCCTGGCCCCAGGGTCCTAGTTGGGAGGCTTACCATCACGCTCAGCAGGGGTCAGCTCAGGCAGGCGCCGCACATGCCGACGGGGCAGCAGCAGTGTCTGGAAGGGCCACACTGCCCAGAAGGGGACCAGCACCAACCAGTGCTCACTGGTTAGGACCAGACGTTCCTGGGAAGACCGAATGGAGATGAGGTCATCAAGGCAGGTGTTAGGGGTCAGCAAATAGGCAAGGGAAGCAGAAGAAAAAACGTACCCAGAATTTGATGGCTCCATCACTACTACCCTAGTCTAAGTCACTATCACCTTTCCTTTAGATTATTGCTATGACCTCCTAGCAAGTCTCTCTGCTACTTCCCTTCTACCCTTCTACTTCACACACCTGTCTCTATTGGGGAGAGGTTAGGGGCTCCTTGGGGACAGGGCCTGGCTTTCTCCCACCTTCCTGAGCAGCTCCTGGTGGACATACTTCATCAGCAGAGGTTCTCCATGCTGATTCTGATAGGCCCGCTGAGATCGCTCCTCACGCTGGGCAATATCTGGCAGGAAACTGCTGGCCCACACCTGTCAAGGAGTAGGAACAGAGAAGAAAAGGCAGGTCCTTCACCCCAAAGCCTCCACATCACTAGCATACTCTCTGTCCCATCTTATACTCCAATTCCCCTTCCACTCCCCACAGTATTGGCTTGGACTCAGCCTAGAAATCCACTAGAGCCTCTGACATACGCTTACCTGGCAGTGGGGGTGGGGGTTGGAACAGCCCATCATGGCTCCTTTGTTTTCAAAGATCTATCAGGTAGGTAGGGAGCTTTAGTAACCAAAAAAACCAGCAATTCAACCCCTCCAAAACACACCCGGTGGAAACAGGAATGCCACTTCCCAACTAAAGCTGTACCACCTCCTCCCTGCCCATCCAGGGGGAGGGGGCAACCTCACAGACCTGCACCCAAGGGTACTGGGCACCCAGCTCTTCTGTGACTGTGGCCCACACATCCACAACAGCACGGATCTCAGGAACTGACATGAGTGGCAGCGTCATATCAGACCAAGGGTGGAAGCACAGGACCTTACTAAGTAGAGGAAGGGAGAGAGGGATGACAGAAATATAGGGCTTGGCTGTGCTAGGGGCAGCGCCCAACCCCAGTGCTCAGTCCAGGCCCTGGGTTGGAGGTTGTAAGAGAGGAAATCCATAGTTACCAAACTCCTCGAGCAGCCTCTGCCTGGAAAAGAGGGTGATCACTGGGTCCTGAGATAAAGGGGTATCATTCTCTGCAACAGAAGTCCCCCCAAGAAGTCCAGCCTCTCTTCCCTCCAACAGCAGCTAGAGCTAGGTTACCTGGATTGGGGGCATCAGGCTGCAGAGCTGGGAAGTCATTGTCAAACAGGAAAGTGCCATCATAGTGGGGATTCACCTACAGACAA